ACATGCGTGTAACTATATATAAATATACATATATACACCTAAAAGTACAGATAGATAGCCCGCGCCGGGAGCGGAGAGGAAAGAAGAGGGACAGCGAGAGAAGGGAACGTCTCGCGGCCGCGGCAGCATCACCGAGGGTGCCTATATATATATATATATGTATATACACTCCTGGCATCCCGCGAGAGAGAGAGAGAGGAGGAGGTGGATCACGAGAGCTGCTCCTTCGGCTTGACTTTCTTCGCTCTCTCGCGAGAAACTGGATGCCTCCCGGCGCACGAACCTGCGCTTTATATATGTATAAAGCACATCGCACAATCGAGAGGCAAAAGCCTGTGAGCTATAGGCCGTGTGTGCAAAGGATCCGACCTGCATGTGTATATATACGTGTATGTAAGAACACACACACACACACACACACATACACGCGCGGACACTTATAAGCTGCAGAGAGACAGACAAGGCTGAGGGAGAAAGAGGCGACCGCGGTGCGCGATTGCCTGCCGCCGTTCTCTGCGGTTTCGCGATGCTGTCTGTGCAAGCCTCTGTTTGCTCCTCGCTTCGGGAACAAGAATCTTTGCATCCACGTGTGGACATATTCATGCATTTATACGTGCAGATACGCGAGATTTTTCGACGATGGAAGGAAAAGGGAGAGTGAGACGAGCTTTTGAAAAATCTCAGTATACATAATATATAGGCGCCGATTTTCACCCGTGGAAATTGATGGCGATGTATAATTTTATCCGCTTCGCTCGAAGAAAATATACGAGCAAAGACAATAACATTTTGAGCTTTTGCTTTTCAAGTGTCAAACGTCGTGCTATTTAGATATCTCTCTTTCGTACGAGAATCGCGTATAAACGCGGGTATGCATTTACAAGTGTGGATAACATGTACAGTAGCTTTGAAATGAAGAATTTTCTCGACAATCGAAAAAAAAAAAGGTCGATTGGATTAATTATGTAATTACACGTACACGTGTACGTATTTGCATCTGTAGAGTTTCTCGGAGCGCGCGAAAAGTAGTTTTTCCAATAGCTGATGGCACTCGCGAGCGTGAGAACTGCGCGGTCCTGGTGCGCCCGTGCGATCCTCGATTTAATTGAGAAAGTCTCCTGTGTACATTCGTACTCGCCAAAAACTTTCGATAAATATTAGAGAAGCATCGTGTACGACTCGCGCTTTTTTACGTAAGCCTCTTAACAAACCTCCGCCAATTATTTTGTAGCGAAAAAAAAAAAAAAAAAAAATCCTTCGGTAGGCATTTTTTTCCATACAACCTTGTGCCGCTTGTGTACAATAATGCACAATTTGTAACTGTAATCGTCGTAAAATCACAATGATTTTTCTTTTTCCCACCAAGTGATAAAATGTACCGTTTCCAGGTAAATCTGGTTAGACGCGCGTATCGTAAAAAGAGCACCATCCGACCGATACATAGGAGCCGGAGATAAGTTTGAAATATCTTCATGGCCCCGCACCCTCCCCCCATTTTTTCCGTCAGAAGCCCGTACCGTAACAATAGGCCGCATTAATTACCCCCCTGATACACCCCGGAGCCAGCGCGCCCGTAAACATTTGTAATTCAAAGCCACACACATCCCACGGAGATGCAAATGGCAGCGCGATCTCTCGCGCAAACACCGATTACGATTATAATGCACCCGCGACGATAAGCATACCTTCTCATACACAGCTCGGATCTGATTACCGAGCATCGGAGAGCTGCAATCAGTGCCTATATATATTTATAAGTCGAGCTTCGTCAAGTTCCCCCTTTATAACGCCTCTCTCTCGTTAAAATTCCATTGTACCGCAAGTATACAGTACAGAGAGAGGGCGAGGTCGTTCGTGTCCGCGATATCGGCAGGTTTTGCGAGCGCGGCTCCGTTTGAACCGCAATTTCGGCCACGCATCTAAACTCCCAGCGATAAAATATCGGCCCTCTCTTTACAACTGATTTTCGTGTAACTGCAAAAACACATACTTTGAGTACATCGTTTGGTTGTGCGAATTGCAA